TATAGGGCAAATAGGTAACTTCTTGGTGACTGAGCACTTGTGGGACCATTTGAGTGAAATAGTAATAATAATAATAATAATAAATAACAAAAATAATAAAAAAGAATATATAAAACTAAATGAATAAAAAATTGAAAAAAAATATAGATGACAGTACATGTACATATGGCTAATGGGTTAAAGTCGTATACACTTAGATTCCATTATAAGTGTTCAGTCACTCACCTGTCAATAATGATATTATTGATATTATTGACAATAATAATAGCATTAATAATAATAGGCCTAGTATTTGACCCTTTGGTGACTGAGGACTTGTAGAGCTATTAGTGTGTAAATAGATCTGATAAAACAAAATTTCAGTAGGTAGTACATGACCCAGTGGGTTTAAGATCACAGTTTCTTGCTAATGTTACATACTTTAGACTGTATTCTTCACCCTGTCTGTCTGACAGGAAGCAGGGTTTTTTTGTGGGCTTGGTCCCAGGGAGAATTACCTTGTGACTGTGCTTAGTAAATCAAGATAGGTAGTACATCAAGATAGGTTTCAGAAGTATTTCATCTTAAAATACCTTAGAGCGTAGACCAATTTTCTTATGACACTTGGGCACATAAGAGGAGTTGAAAATATTGTGTCAGAATGATATTGGAGGAAAAGAAAGGATCTCATTTTTTCTTACACTTATGCCGATGCCTTCTCAACTTCCAGAGTTTATCTCCGCCATGTCCAGTCCCAGAACCTGCACCGGCATTATCAGAAGGAGTGGAGTCGTCCTCCCCATCAGGACAGCAGCCTTCTCCGTCCACGCCTCGACTACCTTTGCCGAACACTCAGCGCGTCACCACCACTCCGGAAGGGAACCAGACGCCAACATCAGCACATGGGTATGAGAAGATAACAGTCAAGCTAAAAAAGTCTCAGTTCTCTCCCAACGAGATGGTCGTTGTGGGCAGTGCAAGGGACGCTCAGGAACAGTTTGAACTAAGGTAAGATTTTTTTTTTTGTGGCTGCCATTTGCTATGCTTTTCTAGATTTCATTATATGGTAATGAAAGAGAGAATGGAAGGTAAACCATAATTTGAAAGACTTGATAAGTTAACAGTAAGACACATGTTTTGGAGCAAATTGTCTGTCAACCCAGTTTAGTATCATTTACGTACCATCAGTTATTGTGTAAGTACCTTGGTAAAAGGCTGGTTTAGCTGTCCTATGAGTAATACATGTTTGGTAATTTGGTTTTATTTAGAATGTATATATATATATATATATATATATATATATATATATATATATATATATATATATATATATATATATTTAATCACAAGAAAGATGTGAAAATAGAAATAACAGTATTATTGTATTGATGATTTCAGTGGTAATAAGTGTAAAGGCTGAGAATAGCAGTTAAAGAAAACATTAAAAAATGTATATGGTGATATGATTGATTGTTAAATTTTTCTTTTTATTTATTGATATCGTTGTTTATCATCATCATCATCATTATTTTTATAATCATAATTTTTATCATAATTTTTTTGTCATTATTTTTATCATCATTATTTTTTTGTCATTATTTTTATCATTATTATTATCATTACTATTATCGTCATCATCATTTTCATCTTCATCTTGTCTTCATTCTCATCCTTGTTCATCATCAGGGAAAATATATTGAAATCAATGTAACCGCAAAATAACTTCAAACTTCAATATTACAAATAATGTGATAATAAGATGAAATGTAAATGATTGGAGTGATGAATAGCTGATGTAATAATTACAAAGTTATTGATAAGGTTTCAAACAGATTTAATCTTTAATTAATCTGATTGGTTTGTATAAGAGTCCCCCTGACGTACCTTTCTCATTCACGATTGTCTTTCGCAATTCAGTAAAGAAAAGATAAAGGAACAATAAATGTTGCGAAGGCATAGGTTTGAAAAAAAGTTTATCAAGTATTTGGATAGTAGATGGGAGGGGAAGAAAAGTTTCTTTTTTATTTTTCTCTTTATTATTATTGTTTTTGTCATTGTTAATATTGTTATTGTTATCATCAACAACAACATTATCAACATCAACATCATCAGTATCAACATCGTCATCATCATCATCATCATCATCATCATCATCATCATCGTTATTATCATCATCATCATCAATGTTATTATATAATCATGCACAATTTTGTCTTTGCAGAAACTCGCCAGAAAAAATGACCACTACTACTAATGCCTCGGGCCCAAAGGTCATAGAAAAGGCTGCAGTAAAACCAGTCCAAAGACAACTCACTCAAAAAACCATCGATTTTTACTCTACTCCAAAGGCTGATAAACCGCCTGTCAAGCCCGTGGAGAAGTTTATCACAAAAAGTGCCGAGAGGGCGGTGACAAAGCCGCCTGAAAAAATCACAAAACCCGCCGAGAAGGTTGCAGTAAAACCTCCGGAGAAAATAAGTACAAAGTCTACAGAGAGAGCGGTAGGCAGGCCGAGTGAAAGGGTTGCGGGAAGACCTGCCGAGAAGGGAAACAACAGGCAGACGGAGCGATGTGTAGGCAGGCCTCCGGTGAGGGTCCCCCAGCGCACAAATGAAAGAGGAAACGTCAGAAGTTCCGGAACTGTGTCAAGTACTTCAGGAAATGTAGTCGGCTCTTATCCTAAGGTAATGAAATGTCAACTCTTTGAGAGAGAGAGAGAGGTATACATGGAATGCATCTATACTTATATACATAAATGCATATGCTTTTGCATATACACATATGTACATATATACAGGTATAGATAGGTGCATGTACATATGCATATAAATATATATTTTTCAATAGATAGATATAGATTTCAATATAGCTACAACTAAAATGTGTTTATGGTATGATTTATATATACATATTTATGTGTATCTAAAATTTTTATAGGCTAATGGTGTCGGCCGGCCACCACTGGGCATCAACAAGAAAGTTCACAAAGGAAAACGAACAAAATCTGCTGAACCAAACCTGGATTTAACATCACTCGCACCTCTTGACACAGGTACAGTAATGAAGGGCATTTTAATTTTGTTTTTATTTATACTATTTATTTATTTATTTATTTATTTATTTTTTATCTACAGGTCTTCACTACAATAAGTAATATTTTTTTATGATAAATATTCTTTATGTTGTGCTTCAATGCCAAAATGAAAAATTTTGTGAAAAAGATATTGATTATAATTTGATTATAATCATTATTTTTTTCATTTCACTGAATTAATAATGATATTGTTGCATGGAATATTTATATTGAAAAACTGTTTTGTTCTGGACTTTCTTATCCATCTGTAATACTCCTCACAGAACTGGGATTCAGTGAAAAGCAGCAACTTGCCCACGGGGTCTTACTTCGGTTACTGAGGATTACCAGCCAATTACCTATGATTGAATTTACGCATGCCTTGGAGACTCTTGAAATGCTGACTGATGCGTTTAAGCTGGAACAACGTGTTAATTTGACCATTAATCATGACCATGAGGAAGGTAAGTTGATATTTTGCCAATTTACAATACTTTTCTAGTATGTACTGGAAATTGTATTTATGTGCTTTTGGTTTATTTGAAAATCCATTCTGTCATAGTTGTCACTTCTCCCTGAAAAAAGAGGAAGCTTTATAACCATTTGTATAAATTTTGCACATTGTGTTTGGTTGTGTATATATAGAATATGAGAGTATGTCCAGGATAAGAAACCAAAATGCCCAAAGCAGTGTAGTGTCAATAAATCCCACGGATTTATGTTCTGTCCCCTGTAGTTTTTGGTGAATTTTGTTACATACAGATGGCTCCACATGTACTCAGCCAGCAAGGAGTCTATCAGTAGGCCCTAGTTACCGACCCTGATTTTCCCATTCATTGGATTGGCGGGAAAAATTATATCCTTGCTTTCGATACTGTTATTATTGTTATTGATGTTATGATTATTGAATTGTCATTAGAATATTTTTGACAATGAAATGATACAAAAAAAAACTCTCCTAAAGTGAAGGAAAAGGGTAAACAGGTGAAATAGGTAGTTCTTGATAACTGGCTATTTGGTGATTAAGAACTTGTAGAGCCATCTATGTGTAAATACAATAAATAAACGTGTATCAAAGTGGGTTTGGCATCTATTCTTGCCACATGTGGCGAATGGGTTAATAATCCAGAGAACTTTAGAGTGACTATATATGGGATACATATTTCACAAAAACAACAGTGAATTGGATATATAAACAAAGAGTATTATCTTAATGCTTTAAAAATCTTCAAACTAAAGTTAGTGGACAGGGTTATCACTGTACTGTATTCATACCAGAGCTAGAAGCAGATTTCCTGTATCAGTCTCCTTTATTGCCCCTAAAGGAAAAAGTAAGCCATTGTTACAGCATGCATTGCTTCTCAGCAAAAAGTGGAACATTTGCCTGCCCTCTGTAAACACCTGGCAGCCAATTTTGCATTAGTATTAACAGCAAAGGGTAGTACGGACAGACCATAGTGACTGATAGAATAGCCAAGGTAGCCAAGAACATAAAAGGTTTGGGAGGAAGGGTAGCTGGGTGGGGATGGGGGCAAGCTCTAGAAAATTTCCTTCAGTAGATATTTCATTTATATTTTATATAAACTGGCATTTTTTTATTTGTATTTCATTTAACTTGTAGTTTTATAGAGGACAAACAATACTAAGAATAATAAAGAATAAAGATATATGAATGTTTCCAAAAATCAAGTAGAAGGGGGGACACCAAGGTCATTTAGGACTTTTAATTGTATCTTTGGTGACAGAAATCTTTGTAGAGCTATCAATTTGTGAATTAAATCACTGAACTGAGATCACTGTGGACAAGACATGTATATTTATTGTCCCATCATCAATGGTTTAAATTGTAGAATGTATCCTGAATGTTATGTTATAAGTTGTGGAATATGATTTGTTATTTTATATAATACATATTGCAAAAGCAGTTTGGAGTATGAAAAAAACTTTC